ACACATGTAGATGTAATTGTAAGAGAGACAAGCAAACTCAGAACTCACAGATTTACTGATGTCGGCAGTCCCGACTCCTAAGTCGCAGCTTGTCCTACCTAGTGCTGTAAGTCAGACGCTATGTTCGTGTTCGGTTCGGTTCGGCAGAGTTCGGCAATTTTTCACCCGAACTTGGTTCGGTTCGGGGTTCGGTAATATAATAGCAAGCAGCGTTATAGCCACGGCGGCCGGCACTGGGCGGGCCGGCCAGCCTGCCGGGCCCGACCAGCACGGAGGACCTCTGCACACTGCTTCCGACCAGTACGAATTTCACATTAAAAACTGCTCTAAACGTAATTATTTGTGAAGAAAAATACTACTTACATTCGTATTTCCGTCTTGAATCATGTTTTATTTTCAATTTTAAAAGAATCATATTTTCAATTTGTCAATAAATGATATTTTTTAAAGATTTTCCGAGACGGTTGTTGTCTAATGTTAGAGTCATGAAAGCTGCTATCTTGAATAGAAATTCAGGCTCGTCAATAACTGTTTTGTATAAGTTTTTATTTTTAATAGGAAAAATATAAAATCCTTATTTTTCCTGAATAAATAAATACCATACTATAATATATATTTATTTCATTATTTATATTGTTAAATTTGTCCGATATTGTTATAATTAAAATATTAATTTTTTTGTTGAATGGGTTTGAGCTGAACATATTTTGATCACGCACATGTATTCTTGTTTACGGCTTGCGATCGCGACGTAGTGTGGTCAAGATTTGGGATTTAAATGGCGCCAGTGAAGTCGCGCCAACCACTGGATAGGCATAAATCACAAAGGCGGAAAAAGGGAAAAAAGTAAATATAAAATGAGCAATCATGACATGAAAATTAGGTACAAAATGACAAGTTGAAAAACTTTTATATTTTTCTGCCGAACATCCGAACCAGGCCTTTGCGTTCGGTTCGGTTCGGTTCGGTTCGGTTCGGTTCGGTTCGGAAGTGCCATGTTCGGCGAACTTCCGTTCGGTTCGGCGGTTCGGCTACAGCACTAGTCCTACCCCTCTGAATACAAAATTCAGGAGGAGAGTAAGGGGCAAACATGAAGTACAGTTTCAATGCAAGTACATGTACAAGCAGAACAAAAAAAATCAAATGCCCACTAGGCCAAGTAAAAAAAAAAGTACCAAGTTTCTTGTCCTGACTTTTTCAAAAAAGAAGGCAGTGTTTTACTATTTACTATTTTTAAATTAAGAGAAAGTGTGCATGCACATCCTGCACATGTATACTTTCTCATTTTGAATCAACGATATACAACATGGGATGAATTGGGTTAGGACGAGGAATCAACCTTTATCCCATCAAAGACTTCTTCAAATTATAATTTCAAGTGGTTGGACGGATGCCCATAGGAGTAAAAAAAAACATTGAAGTCAAAATTATAATTACTAGTCTACTTCTTTACATTAAAAAAAATATGACCCAAACCGCTGTTTGAATCGTTTTACTATGCAGGCTCTGGAGCTTCGATGCCTTTGGCAGCGTACCTCCCTGGACATGCTGAAGTTAATTCTAGACATTTCATGATTGTATTATTGTATAGTGGTGTGACCAAAGTTCACAGATGGCACGTGACCTAAGTTCGCTATCTCAAAAATATAAGTAAGATTTTGAAAATCTGATATCACCAATGGAAAGAGGAACATAAAATTACCCATAGATGAAATTTTCTTTGGAATTGGGTACGAAATTGTGAAAATATATACAAAAGATCGGCAAATTTTGCAATCTTTTCCGAAAAAATTATCAACTTACCTATAAGGGTCTGAAAATCTTTAATTTGAGAGCAGATTTCCTCAAAATTGTAAGTAAAATGTGGTTGGTACCAACTGATTGTATGATATGTTGCCTTGCAAATTATGATATTACCTAATTTTTGATGGATCACAATTTTTGATAAATTAACTGTTAGGCCATTAAAAAAAATATACATGTTTAGCGTCCCCGCCCGCTTCCTTTTTGGGGGCTGCCTCCTACTTTTTTCTTCTTTTTTTTTTGAAATTTTTTTTGGAATTCTTTTTTTTAAAGAAAAAAAAACATGAAAAACACTGCTAAAATAGATCTATTTCTGATTTAAAAAAAAAAAAAAAAAAATGTCAGCGGCCATCTTGAAAAATAGCCCGACTGACAGGGAAAATGTACCGAGCGGCCATTTTGAGCGGCCATTTTGAAAGAAAAAAAAGAAAAAAAAAAAGGGCCTCCTCCTTCCTATTTTTCAAAAAAACAGGACGCCAAATATGTTTTTGTTTATTCATTTGGACCCCCGTGCATGAAGTTAGGTCTCGTCGTTTTTATGACTTTTTTAGATGCAGCGCGCGCGCGCGCGCACGCACGATCAGTTATCAAATTTTTAGATTGCGATATCTCCAAAATCCTTTGACGTTAAATTTTCAAGTCGAACCAATCTGTAGTAAAAAAAACTTTGCCGTCCATTTGGGAATAATTGAAATAAATAAATTTGTGTAGAATAAGAGAAATCATAGATCGAATATCACATTTTGTAATATATGTTCTAAATATGTCTAAAAAAAAACTTTGGTCACCCCTTCATAAGAATGATAAATAGCACTCGAATAGACGTAAATTGCGGTTAACACACACACACGCATGCGCACATAGTTTGCAAGAATCTTCAGTCAATACACGGTTTACACAGTTTATGGTTACATCAGTGCGCATGCGCAGACATGGGCGCCATTTTAATTGACGAGTAAACAAATTCAATGAACTAGAGGTCAGTGGTATTTATGTGTAAATTAAGATTGCGCCCATGCAAATGATGATGTGCGCGCCGCGCCCAGTGGTGTTTGCATGGGCGCAATCTAATTTACGCATCAACCAATGGCCTCTAGAGAGGTCATTCGGTTTGTTTACTCGTAAATTAAAATGGCGCCCAGACTGGAGGCAGACTCAATCAGAAGAACTCAAGAAGAAGGTTAGGCCTGTGCGCCAGGCGCGGGTCTGTGTGCATGGCATGGCATTGGTACGGTCGCGCGTCGCGATTGCGGGCCGACGGCCGCGGCCGAATTAGCCAAGACTCTGGCTGTACCGGTATTTGTTTTGGGGTCGTGCAGTCGTGCGATCGACGCTTGCTGGAGCAGTCGGAAAATGATTACATTAGGGGTATAATTCACAAATATTTTACGCTAACGATCCATACCTAATGTGCTAATCGCAAAATATACATACCTTGGGTTAAAATCTTGAAAAAGTCCCTTCAAATTCATTGTTTTGGAGTGAAGTTGAGAGAGGTCATAGCATCTTTGATTGCATACTGAACACGAAAATGTCAGCAACTAAATCTCTTGTTTTCAGCATCGCATTGCCGATTTAGGTATATTGTACAGGAATTATAGCGGTCTCGTCGTAAAGGCACAATTTTAAATAAGAACAAAAAAATGATAATAAAATATAATATGTTTCCCACTTTCAATTAAATAACGATTTGAAAACCAAGTAAGCTAGTTAAGTGGAGTATAAATTGTTCAATGAGCAGGCCCATCGAATGTGGGGGTATTGAGTGTTCAATAAGTTCTTTTCTCATTCTTACCTTCCTGCTCAACTATAAATTTAACTGGTCCTTTATTAAGTCTTGATGACTTTTCCCTATCTAACAATTTGTTTTCCGGGGTAAATATTCCAAAGTGGACAAGCGACTTAAAATTAATTCAACAACAATAACTAACCTTTCCAATTAGTGAACAACTATGATAATTTTATCTTTACACACACTCAGGCATCCGTCGCACAAAATACAAATCCCTTAAAAAATATATAGGGAAGAACATATAATAGGCCTATATGCCTAATCAATTGAAACAAGTTGAATTAAATCAAATCAAATCAAATTCGATTTGATTGAATTAAATAAAATAAAAATATATATAACACACACATATCAATATATAATACGGGGGGCGGGAGCACGAACTGGAATATTCCAGTTCAGTGGGGGGGGGGGGGGGGGGGGGGGGGGGGGGGAGGGGCGTGGTTAGTCCAATGAGTATGAGAAGAGGGAAGCTAGCATAGGGGAAGGGTTTTGAGGTAGTGTTTAGATTAATGAAAATTCGTAACTTATATTTTAATATTATGTAGAGGTGAACATGGGAGCATAATTGTAAGGAGTATACACGTATATTCAGTCATTCTTCTGAAAAAAAGCAATGCTTGTTCTAGTTTTTGATGATGAAATAACTGTGTAACAATAATACTAATAATAGAAGCGGTATTTTGTATTAGGTAATTAATATACATTGTGAAATTATGATTATTATTAAGTTTATTATTATATAACATTATGTTATGCTTTGCTTCTATAGCCTTCTATAATTATGTTATGTGCGAAAAATAAAATCAATGAATACAAAAAAGGAGTAGGGGTGTGTTGATGAATTCTCTCTCTCTCTCTCTCTCTCTCCCCCTCCCCTTCTCTCTCTCTCTCTCTCTCTCTCTCTCTCTCCCTCTCTCTCTCACTCACTCTCTGATCTGTCTCTGCCTCTCCCCCCTCTCCCTCTCCCCTCTCTCCCTCCCCTTCTCTCTCTCTCTCTCTCTCTCTCTCTCTCACTCACTCTCTGATCTGTCTCTGCCTCTCCCCTCTCTCTCTCTCTCTCACTCACTCTCTGATCTGTCTCTGCCTCCCCCCCCCCCCCTCTCTCTCTCTCTCTCTCACTCACTCTCTGATCTGTCTCTGCCTCTCCCCCTCTCTCTGTCTCTCTCTCTTTCTATTCTATATTGTTTCTTTCATCGCCTTTTGTCAAATAAATTTACGCTTTTGATTCCTTTCAAGTGGCCTGGGGGCATGCCTTTCAACAGAATTTGTAAAAAATGAAGAGGTAATTAATGATTGAGCTTAGAGTGATATCATTCATTTTATCGTAGGGACATGTAATGTAATCGCTAAGTTACAAGTAGCTCTACCAATCAGAGATCACACACTATTGAGTGCGCAGTATTAGGCTGCTAACTTCTACCAAAGACATGTTTGTTTCTGCTTGAAAAGTGGTGATGGTGTCACCGGGAATTTCGTGAAGCCAATATAAAATGGAAGGCAGAATGTTGGAGAAGGAACGATGTATCAGTAGAACTGTTGATTGTTCATCCCGCTTAGATGTTATCAGGAAGCATCTTGCTACAAATGCTGGCGGAGCATCATGTCCAATATCACTTCAAGTTCAAGATTGTGGAGCATCAAGCAGGATTAGATCATCAGAGACAAAGGTGCATCACTGTTCTGCTTCGTCTGGGTTTCATGTTTACTGTTTCCTCTTTGAATGAAAGAAAGTCTGTGCCATTTAAAATACCATATAAAATACCATATAAAATACCATATAAAACCATGTTGTATTTTGAACTGTTACATGTTTGTTATGAATATGATGAATCTAGTCATTTAATGGTATTAAACAATAAGCATTCATTCTTAATCTTAATTCATGTTTAACATTAAAATTAAATGGTAACTTTAATTTCTTTCAGAACTAGATTTATTTTGCCGCTTGTAGTTGTATTCACTCATTTACCTAGGCTAAGGCTAACCTGGTCAGAGTTGCATGCTGATGCTGGCTATAGCAGGACTAGGCTGCAGGACCCACATGTTTATTTGTCATTTACCCAGACCTAGTATTATCTAGAGTCTAGATCTAGGCAATGCCAATATGGAATGTCATAGATCTAGTCATATAGATCTACTCTTAAATAATCCTGAAAGATTGTTCATAATATTAGATTAATATTACGACTTAATAGTCATCCGTTTCAATCTCTTCTCTTGATTCTCTTTCTTTTGTTTCATCATATCCTTGAGTATTCATTGAATTGCCATTTATATTTTTTAATCTAATGTTCATTTTTACCAAAATTGATTTTTAATGTTATGTTTTGTATCAATCTCTTGTAAATTCAATTTGTTTCAGCCTCTAGGTGCTATGAATGTACATTTTTTTTAAATCAATAAACCATATCAAATCAAATCAAATCAAATAATACAACCCAAGCTTACTCATAAGTCATATTCAAATGTTCGTACTTCGTAGAATAAAAGGATAAGTTAAATCACTGTTTCTTTTTTTCTCTCTCTCTCCTTCTTTTACCCAGGTGCTGAACAATGATGTGGAATTGATGCCACCATGCAGTGGTCAAGAGAGGGCGTATTCCACTCTTCTAACTCCGCAAGCCATCAGATTTGTTGCTGACATGGTCATTGAGTTTGACAACAAGGTTGATCAGGTCAGATCTTCTTCCTTTATCCATTCTCCTGTGTCTTGCTTTTGGGGTTTGGTTTTATTTAGGAATTTTATTTTCTTTACCAATGATTTCCTTTTTCAAAAGGATTTATTTCCAAAAGGATTTATTCCAAGTTATCTCATATTTGGTGTGACAGGTTAACAATTCAGTGACAAGAAAACTATTTTTCCCCCTTCTTCTTCTTTTAGGTGCAATTTTGGTTTTGGGGGAAAGTCAATTAATAATATCAAATAGCAAAAACATTTAAAAAAAAAACATTATATGCAGGGAAAAAAGGAAAGCAGACAGGGACATTAATACAAGTAGGACTAATTTAATATTAGGTATATATCATGATTGCCTAATTTCTAATGAATGGGTACACTATAACCATCATGGTATACTTTAGACCTATTCTTTGGAATTTTAATTTGATGACAGATCTTGAGAGAGAGGATACAGAGGAAGTTAGAGTTGGATGCAACCAATGCCCAGCCGGACTTCAGAACAGACACCCTGCACATCCAGCAGGGGACTTGGACTGTGGACCCTGTTCCTAGACGCCTTGTCAACAGGCATGTGGACCTTGGTGATGTGTCTCCTGCGAACATCCAACATTTCACAAGGTCCTTGCAGTCTTCTGCTCAAGGCATTCAGGTAAAAAATCAAATAAAAGGTGTAAATATACCACTAGTTATAATTTATATTACCGGTAATGATTGATCAAAATATTGCATCTGTATTGGGGGGGGGGGGGGGTCATATTACGCTTTAATGGTAGAAGAAGCATGATGTTACTTTTAATAATTACTGTTGATGTTCAAACTGAATGTTTCTTTTAGTTTGCTGTTGTTACCCTGTGAATTGTGAATTTCCATTGCGTACGGGTAGTGAAAATGTTATACAAATATTGCTAAGTGTATGAATATTGTTTATTTTTCTTCATAATAAGTTTAACTTAATTAAATTACGTTTTTTTTTTTTTTTTTTAATATACACAAGACTATGTCATTGTTGTAACTTCCGGAGCCTATGACCTACAAGCATTGCTTTCTCTTTAGGCTCCATCATATTTCTTCCCTTATTCAACTTAGTCTTATGTATCATTCTTTTTTTGTTTGTATAAACGCATCCTAAAATGAGTTCAAAATGTAACATGCTATATATAATGATGTACTATACAACATGTGAGAAATATGAAAATAAACTGAAACTGAAACTGAAACTGATATTTGATACACAAATTCTAGCATTCAGAATAAAACTTGTGTGATTAAACTTACACTGAGTAATCCAAAAGTAGAACAGTAGGCTGAAACTTGGTAATACTTAGAGAAATGAATTTGTTGGTTTAGAAATACTGCGATTCCTTAACTTTGATTTTGCATCAGAAATTAAGGATTGCAAATATGGTTAACAGATGATTCGTTATAAACAGAAATTTATTAGAAGCAATTACATGACATGCAATTCAAAAAATCTAATCATATCTAATCATATGTCAATTTAATAATTGAGAATGTTAAATGGATTTTGTTTTAGACTGACTTTGATGACGGGCACTGTCCAACAAGGCGCACACAGATTGAAGGGCTTTACAACGTGTACAGAGCAGTGCACAACCAGATACCTGGCGTACCTCCCATTCAACATGCACCCATACTGATGCTTAGACCTAGAGCATGGAATATGGTCGAACACAACATGATAGTGAGTTAAGATTCCCATCATCTTTATTATTAAGTATTTTATCAGGATGGGATACTTTTGAGTCATAAATGAATGTACAAATGTCTTTGCCAGAGTTCTGTGTTTTTATGTGATGAAATTCCAGGAATATGAAATATCTGGAAGTTTGTTTCTTGTGACATTTTTGTAAAATTTCAACATGTTAAATCGTATCAATAATGATTGTTTAGCCCATTTTCAACATCTTCAAGTTTTACTAATAAAAAAATTATAGTTCAATTATCTTTTCAATGTCTTTGATGCATGAGATTTATGAAATACTGAATAGAAACCAAATAATTATCCTTGCCCAAGAATATGCATGACCTTTGAATTACGAAGTCTTAAATCTTCAGCATCGTTTAGATATTTTGTTATGATGATGTAAAGTGTAATCTTCCCAAGTGTGAAAGTGGATAAATGCACTGGTGAGATGCGCATAAGCCCACATCAAAGCCTTGATTGCATTTTGTATGCACTTTGGATGTCCATGATTCTGATCAGTACTACAGTTTCATTCATAAATCATTATACTTGGCAAATCCTCACACCACATTTCATTTATTCTGTATTAAATGTGTTTCCACATGCTATTTTTCCACACATTTCTACAGGTGAATGGGAAAGAAGTTCCAGGTCCTTTATTTGACTTTGGTCTCCTAATGTTCCACAATGCAAAGATTCTATTGGATAGAGAGAGTGGGCCATTCTTCTATTTGTCAAAGGTAGTTTAATCATGTATAATGTATGACAACAATTTCTGTATCACCGATGTTTAGGGCAAGCATTATTAGGTATGCATTATTAGGTAAATTTTGGTTTAGATAATTTTTTCCAGCTATCCCCTTATTTGTTTCACCAAGTTACATATTATTAAATTACATTTCATGTTACAGTCAAACCTGTCTATAGCGACCACCCAAGGGAAACACAAAAAGTGGCCTTTGTAGACAGGTGGTCTTTGTAGACAGGTTTCTTTAGTACAGGTTTCAATGAGAAACCATTTTCAAGGGAAACAACAAATGTGGCCTTAGTAGACAGGTGGTCTTTGAAGACAGGTGGTCACTAAAGCATGTTTGACTGTATTTCTATGCTATTGTTATGCTTCAAGAATAAAACTTGGCAAATACTAAAACATCGCTGACTATTCAAGCCAAAGCACTGAAAGGGTTTTTAATAAAGAGTCAATGTAGTGTATTGAGGAAGCAAGATAGTTTCATAGCTAATCTAATCTAGACCACCTTGGTTAATTGTGAATCAAGAATAATCATTTCACTATTTTTCATGTTGCCAAAAGTTTTGGTCTTATTCATTTATGCACATGGCTGTTTACGTGGCTCTCATAGCATGGGGTCATAGGTCATTTCTCATTTTCCATGATTTTATTTCTTTTAATTCATTACAGATTGAAGGATACCGAGAAGCCAGACTGTGGGACAAGATATTTACATGGGCTGAGGTGAAGGTGAGAATTGAAGTGATATTATGCCAGAGGCAACATGACTGTTTGAAGTCATGATCAGCATTTAAGTGATATAACATTAGTGGGTTCTTGTATTTTAAAAGCGCTCATGTCTATCAGAGTAGACAATCCCAGCACTCTACAATCCAGTTTTACAATGGCCTCAATTGTGGTGCTCTAGCATCTCAAGGAATTGTACTTGTGAACTTATCAGTGGCCTTTAAGAAGCTTAAGTCCTTTATTGAACTGAACAAGAGGGCTTGATATCACTCCAAGTCAATTAGAACATAATTCCCATCTGTTGCTACTACTTCTTTACAATAGCACCTCTTTTTTTTCCTCTTCCCTTCTCATACATATAGCTTGGTCTTCCCCTAGGCTGTGTGAAAGCAACAGTACTCATTGAGAATATCCTAGCAGCCTTTGAAATGCATGAGATCTTGTACGAGCTTAGGAAGCATTCGGCAGGGCTAAACTGTGGCCTTTGGGACTACTCTGCCTCTTTTGTCAATAAATTTGGTGAGTTGTGGGGTTTGGCATTAGGGGGGTCACATTAATGTTTCTCAATCCCTTGGGGTGATGATATTGGAATATTAGATATAGGATTGTGTTTGGTCTCAACAAATGTAAAATGTAAAATCCATTACATAAGTTAACACACTATGAACATGACGGACAAAGAAAGCGGACAAAATAAACAGTTCCTCATTCTACCCTTAACAATTGCTGTGGTAGACAAAGAAACATCCCTTCACTGCTATTATGTAAAAATAAGTAGCACAGGTGAATATGCATGTGACACCTGTTCTACACATTTTTACATAATAGCAGTGGAGGGATGTTCCTTTGTCTACCACAGCAATTGTTGAGGGTAGAATGAGGAACTGTATATTTTGTTCGCTTTCTTTGTCCGTCATGTTCATAGTGACAGTAGGGTTCCCCTTCTTTATTAAGCAAAATATTACACGGGTAAATCTTATGCTATTGTGAGAACAAGTCGTCCTCTTATCCTCAGAATTCTCTACAAACCGTTCCAATAGCTTGACCTTGCAGTGATTTGTTCTTGCTTTCTGTTCTAGGTCATAGGCCTGATTTCGTGCTACCGGATCGTCACAAGTATGTGAACATGGAGAGGCACTTCTTGAAGAGCTACCTGGTCTTGACGATAAAGACCTGTCATCAACGAGGCTGCCATGCTACAGGGGGCATGAGCGCCCTCTTGCTCCCATCTAAGAAAGGCCCAGAGTACAGTGCAGGAGTGGAGAAAGCATGCAGGTGAGACACTGTTGTATTTGAGGATATAACTACAAGGATACAGAAACATTTGCCACTGCATGTAGTCAAGAGGCCTTTCCAAAAATTCCTCCCTGGAGAAGGACAATATGGCCCGAATTCATAAAGGAGTTTTAAATTTAACCCATGGTTTAAATCTTCATTTATATAACCCATGGTCTAGAATTAGCACATAATAAGCGCGACATGGTCAGAGGTCCAATATTAGACACGTGCAAAGCAAAGTATTCTTAATTTGCGCTAATTTTAAACCATGGGTTACGGTATGTAAATGAGGGTTTAAACCATGGGTTAAATTTAAACCTCCTTTGTGAATTTGGGCCTATGAGTAACCATCCAAGGGTGATGGTTTCTATGGTGAGTTGCTACTGTTGTTGTTGTATTATAATATTGTTTATTGATATGTCATGTCATTATTTCAGAGCTAAACTGAGTGAAATCAAGGCTGGTGTGGATGGTTTCATGGTGTATGACATTGGACTGCTACAGCCCATGCAACAGGTACAAGATTATAGCAGTCTTTAAAATGCTCTTAGAAAATAGATATGTCATGAAGGATATGCGTCTAATCCTTTTGTTCCAACAGTCCAATAGCCAATGATACATCCTACATTGCTTTGTTTACAAGGATATTCCTGTATCTAAAATTAAATTGCTGATGTTAACTGTTCTTTTTCTTTTGCTCAAAGGATGGAATTGACATATACTATTTGTGACAACATAATGACAATGATATTGGCCTTGCCATACATTTACTTGTATGAATTCCTACTATAAAACAACTACCAACTAATAACTCACAAATTTGTTGCCTAATAAAGCATGCAACAGCTTTGTCATAGCACGTACCGTACTCTTGTATTGAATGATTTATGAAATGGGCCCATGTCATGAAATTTATTACAAAATAAATGTAACCATATTTTTATGGCAGGTCTGGTTTGAGATTTGTCTAGATAACATTTGATTCTGTATCTTGCTATGCAGGTATGGGCTAAATTTGCCCCTTCTCCCAACCAGCTTGCTGTCCTGAGGTCGGATGTCAAAGTTCAAGCCAGAGACCTACTTCTCATGCCGTCAGTAAGTTAGCAAAAAAATTATTGTATTCTAATCACACAATTGAATCTAGGCACATGTCTTTTAGACTGCTTCTTCTCCATCGTTGTAGTGTCGAATGTTGAAAGATAGTATTTTGCAGGCTGTCATATTTAAAAGTTTTATTTTTGTTTTAGAAATCAAGTTTGTGCTCAAAATGTCAATCAAGAGACATAATGGCTCAATTTTTATCAAAGAGAATATGTAATAAATAAGTTAATGCCTTTCAATGGCCTCCTATGATTGGATATAAAGAACGTTCAAACAATGGTAAGACCTGGACAATAAAATGTCACAACTCATTGATATGTCACTCATTACTTTGTTATCATTTCACTTGATATTTGGATAATTGACCAATTTGTCAATGAAACAGACAACTTGATATTTGTTTCTTTGTTTCTTCATATCCATACAGGGAGGAGTCACATTGAGTGGCCTGAAGACTAACATTGCTGTGGGCATCCTCTTTATAGACTCTTGGCTCATTGGTGAGTTTGATTATACTTTCAACAGCTTTTATTTATGTTTCTTTCTCCATATTGGTTTGTTGATCTAGTCAGACATAGAATTTGTTAGCTCTTAGGTACATACATCCTCTTCCTTTATCAATCATTATCCCCTTCCTCTTTTTTTTTCTCTCTCTCTCTTTGTCTCTCTCAGAAAATTTGTATTGTCGCCTGACCTTGCATTCATTATTTTCTAGTCTCTTTTTCTAATCTAATGCAGCTTACTATCCCTAGGATAAAAAGTAAAAACCTAATAAATTATAATATTTTTGTTATAAATAAAAGAGCATGATTATCATATATTTCTCTCCTTCAGGAAGAGGTCATTTTCCCCATGCTGGTTCAGTTGAAGACTCTGCTACAGCTGAAATATCAAGATCACAGGTCAGTATGTCTCTAGCACTTATATAAGGAAGAAATTAAAATGAGTAACTGGAGAACCAAAGCAATCATCCCCCCTTCCTTCCCACCCTGGCAATTATTCTTGAAAAAAAATCATAGGGTATGGGTCAAGTCACTAGTAATTTTAAAGCATAGGAATATTTAGAAAATGCTTATAGTGCGCCAGGCCAGTAATCATTTATCTATCTCACACAAAATTAATAACCTCTCAACTTACATGCATGCTATCATAATTATTGTGCAGTTTAGATCAATAATATTTTAAGCAAATTCTGTCAGTCAACCCTTTCAGGTTCCTACAAGTGGTTGACACCACCATCAGTGTTCTCTTCTGTCATACCAACATTTTAGATATCAACTTGCTTTAAAATTCTCTCTGCACTAGTTTGGCATGGAGGGATAAGACCTCCCTGTGAGGTTACTGGACAGGTGGTTATCTCATCAAATCAGCTCTCAATTAACATAAGAAAAAGGGCATAATGGGGGACCAATGGTCACCGATTAGGTTTTGTTTGCTATATAGAGGGCGCAAGTAGCTATAAGTAGTGCAGTAGGGCTTTAAATTCATAATCGTTTTTCTCATTCATCAGGTTTGGCAGTGGATACGCCACGGGACTTGCCTCGAAGACAACAAGCAACCCGTCACTAGACAGCTCGTCATTGAACTCACCCAAGCCTTCCTTGCTGATGCCCAAGGTGCTTCCCGCTCAGGCCATGGGGATGCTACCAAGAGATTGAGGGTGTCTGCAAACATCTTCCTGCAGCTGGTCATGAAAAGAGACTTTCCAGAATTTATCACAACATATCTGAACCTTACTGACTCTTTCCTGTCTAGTCCATGGAACATGTAAACAAATCCCTTCCGATATAGAGTAATATACAAATGATTTATTTTAATACATGTATGACTCTTTATGTCGGTACATCCCATTCAGGGTGCAGGGACTCTACCAAGCAATCTTCCTATAGCTTGTCTTGTAGATAGACTTCCCCAAATTTATCACAACGTATCTAAATCTAAGTGACTCAAAATTTAGGTTGAAACGACCGGAAGTGTCAACAGGATCATCTCTCACTTCCGTATACTGAAGATGATATCGTTTTCAGTTGACTTTCATGACCCATCAGAATAAATGTGTTCTCATAGGAAGAAATTTCTTGCTCGACTTGATGATGATAACTACATATTCTGATACCACTATCAACTACAACTAAAAAAAAATCCATTAATATTAAATGGGAATTGATGTGTTGAAAATCAGTGCTTTAAAATTTTCCAATACAAAATAAAAAGTAAATCACAATTTTTTTAAATTGTGACTTACACTGAATTTAGATTGTCAAAATATATGTTATATTATTAAAGTATTTGAAACGTCAGTATTCATTTCATATAGAAGATATTCCTCTTTTAGCATATTGCATTTTTTTTAAATTTTACTTTAATTTAATGACTTTTTTGTAGCCTCCATGTTATGAAGAGATTGTTGTAAACATTTTGTTCAATTCATGTTTTATTAATAAACAGAGTCTTGTTCAATAATTTTTTCCTTCAAAATTGTTTTATGAATGAGTTGTGCTGTTAAAACGTTTGTGATGTAAGAATTTTGAATCATGAAAGAAATAAGATTATTTTATTTTGGGTAATGAATCTACTGAAATGAAAATAAATTTCAATAAGAATAATGAACTGTCATGCCCTTATTATTTTTGTCATTTTGAGAGTTCAGTAGTAATGTCTATAGAATTGAAATGGATTCGTTTTATCCCCAAGAATTTAAAACATATTCTAGAATTCAATTCACCCTCAACAAAAAATTCTTAATCACAAGTAAAAACACATGTCATCAAAATCAACCCTTACCTGTTCTCTCTCTTCTCTCTCTCTCTTTCTCTCTCTCTCTCTTTCTCTCTCTCTCTCCCTCTCTGTTTCTATAATACTAAATGTACTATAAAGCTATATATAATAAAGCACATCGCAGGAATTCATTGAATCTTTTAAAGCATGTAAACATTGCACAAGTTCATACATTCATGAATGTCATGGAATATGATTTTATTGACACTGATTCAGACGTAATTATTATAAATTTTACATAACATTTTCCTTGTCTCAATTATGGCTTTACTAACTATAGAAAAGAAAACTACATGTGCAGAAAGGAAACTTTACCATCATTAGTTTCAAAGAGTAGTCAATTGAACTACACACTGATGTAAAGTATGCAATGTAGGCCTACCTTTTTTAATGGTCATTAGGAAGGAATCCTTAATGATATTTTTTCGCAGTCACATGATCAAAGGTTTAAAAAAAATAAAGGAGAATAGAAATGCTCTACTTTTTATGATAACAAAATGGACACTTCACAAAGAAATCAAACACCTTCAAAAGAAGTTCAAAATCAATACATATTGAACGTACCGGTAGTACTGGTAATAATTTCTGCGACTAAGTATAAAATTAATACCATTTTAAAAGGCAATCGTCTATATACATTCTTTATACAATTCATAAAATACGCCTGTTAACATTTGTGCAATTGACAGCATAGAAGGAGGAAGACAAGAATAAGGATAAAAATATAATTATAATAAATTGCCAAAGGAAATAAAATACAAAAAGATTTGAACATATTAAGTGTCGATGTAGAATACTAGTAAACGGAAATTGATATTTCAAAGTAAAGAGCTCACAATGCTCAATATTTTTGTTGGTGTTGTCGTAAAAGTGTAAAAAGAGAACATGCAAGGAAAATTTTGAACAGGATGCTAGTCTAATACTAGAAGCACAACCTACATGTATCATTTAAATAGAAGCATTTCATGAACATATTTGAGAAAAGCAAAAATTACTTTCCAACCATGATGGTAATATCTCTTTTTCTTCGTACAAAGATTGCTCAAGACTTTTCACTGCTTCACCTCTATGTGTCTTGAAAGAAGACACCTTACAATGTCAAATAACATTTAAATATAGCCCATCACTCTTCTTCCTGTCTTGATTATTTTTTGTTTAACTCCTATTGATTCAAAACTGTGAGGGAGGGAGGGAGGGAGATAATGATAATGCTTAACATACATTAATAACTTGACAGTATACAGGTACATGTATAAACAACTTCAAATTGCACATTGTGTAACAATGTATTCCCTTGCAATAATAAATATCTCACACAAGTAAAGATCATAAAGCAGGAAACTTTGTTTTTATAGCACTGTGGTATAAAAGTTAAATATCTATTTACTATAATGACTATATAGAGTGTGCTCTGTCATTCTGTCTTGCCTCCCTGACTAGACTGTACCTAATTATGAAGTCTGTCTTGTCAATGTAATATATTACTCTACAAGCAATATATTTACTTGTCATTTCGTCACATTCAAACTTAACAATCATCAGTATTCAATTTCAAAGTTTTTCAGATTTTCTACATTCAACAAATATGCATTCTACACACACACATCTGCATTACAAAAATGACACTCAAGAAAATTGTTAAATAATATACAAGTGAGGCACTTGGGAATGAAACAGTACAATCTCTTATATGAATGCTCTGTTTTGACTTTCTAAAAGAACTCCCAACAAATCCACTTAAAAAGCAACTAAGCATGAATAAATTACAATATCCATTTTTTCAATTAAAAAAAATGATGACTTTTCAATACAAATTTCAGGTATAAAATGCTAAATTTCATCATTGGGCCAACACAATTAAACATTTGCTCTATCTCTTTACTTTACTCATAAACATTTTTGTTTATTAATTTGGTTTTATGAGATGCAAAACTATACCCTGCCTGAAGTCTATTAAAAAGTTGTTGAACAAGTTATCATATTAACAGTATCGCATCAAGTTATCAGATTAACAGGTGATTTGAGTGGAATTATAATAAAGTTAATTCGTGAATTAAACCAAAAAGTTTTGGAATGGTCAGAAACATGAGTGGCATTATCCACTCCACTTCTCTCCAACATGTCACACAGACATGTACAGATTTATCAGCATTTTGTTTTTGGTAGCTGGCATTTGTTTATGGGACTCTCTTCTCGTCTTGTTGAAAGTGAGTCAGAGCAAGCAACTTTGTAAAATGCAGAATTAAACACAAAGTGGAAGCATGAAATATACAGTTTTAGACAATTCTAAACTTGTGAATTATGTGCTAATTCCTCCTATAACACTTTGAAGTTTGAACATTATTGCATTTGTATATTAAAAAATAGGTTCAAATGAGAATAATCTCAAATACACATGTCCTTTATATGCTGATCTGTAAAATAAAGTGGCCTCTAAATTGCAACTTTAAAATCCTCTTCATACCTGCTGAAATAAATGATAAAAAAGATTTTGTATCAGACTATTATTAAATGTATGCAAATCAGGATACAAACAAAAAATAGCTGGTGCAACCTAGGACCCTATGCATACACTGTGATCTACATGTATATGGTATGATATGTACATATATGTGACACACATCTAGAGCAGATATCATTTGATTCTAAATGCCACAGAAACTTTTCAAGATGATTTACAGCAGCATAGGGTGTATGTCTGAATGAGGCTTCAGTTTAGCTCAATATCAGTAGACACACCCACACAGACACTTGATACTCTCTCATACTTTCCTAGTCAGACCTTTCGGTTAGCTAAGTGACATGTACCATCACAGATAGTGGTCATCTCGATCCATGATGTTTTTGTAGAAGACACATTTCTGGGTCAAACCTTTTCAAGTCCTGTCTTTGATGGTGCAGCTACTTCTTCTCCCTCCATGAAGTCCTCCTATAAAGATGTGAAAAAATATCGATATATAATACTCTTTGTTAAAAATAGATGAACTTAATTAGAGTTTTGCTTGGAGTCTATTTAAAGGTATTCTTGAAAAGTGATAAGAACCCCATTATTACCCCAAAGTAATGGATTGTTTGTCTTCAAAATTCAAAGACAGAAAGAGTAACATATATGAACCATTATGAAGTAAATCTTTTCCTTGCTGGTGGTTCCATGTATGAACATTTAAATTTTTCGAGGGGGGGGGGGTTCAATCAATGTTATTTTAATGTGCTTAGATAATTTGATTAAATAAAGGTAATATATATTGTTAATAAAATATGAAGACTTTAACAAAGAGACTTAATAACAGAGATCATAATTTTTCTTAATAGATGAATGTTTACAATTGAAGAAAATTTGATTCTTTTTTTGTTGTTTCTGGTCTTGCTGTTGTCTTTGTTTTTTGTTGTTGTTGGGGGAGGGGTGTTCCTTTTTGTGTGTGTTGAGTCTGACTTGTTTTTATATTTATCAGGGCCTACAGCAGGTATATTCTCTGGTATACTTACCAAGTCATAAATGACCTTTAGAATCAACGAACAGCTTGGACATGTTGCAACTTCTTCCCCATCACTAAGAGCTTCCTATTGGGAAGAAGGAGGAGAAGGAGGAGGAGGAGGAGGAGAAGAAGAATACAAAAAAAATGCATATTGTAATAACGTAATATATGCATTATTTTCAAAAAAAGATTCACATCTTCAATTATGAAGCTACTCAAAACTATTTTTTTGTTTTCATATTTTCTTTAAAAATAAATACAAATAGATCTAAATACAAAAACAAAATGATGAGACTAGCGACTAAAGAAATAACATGAACAGTCTGAGAAGTCTGGAATGTAAAGACCAAGGACAAGTATAAGAAAAATTGAACCTGATAAGTACATGGATATGGCCATGTGAGGACTTCCGTATGCATTATGCGGCAGTACCGAAAGTCCGAAACCACCGACGCCCGGTCCGCGTCCAAATTCGGCCTTCGCTTCGGATATTTGCCATTTTGCCGGAATTGGGGATTATCTGTACATGAATTGTGTTTATTTTTAAAGAAAGTATAATTAATAATCCCACTCAACACATAATTAAAGTGAAAGTTGGGAGAAAAAAATGACATAAAATTTCGGTTCATTTCATGTAACAACTAACATTCGTGTCCATATGCATGTGCATTGATAGTAACAAAAAATACATCGCCAAATAGAGCATATGGGACTGAACAAAAATGGTACAAAAATAAAGCCTTCATTTACCTTCGTTATCTCAAATCTGTCACCACACGGACAAGGATAGTGATATATTTCCGTTTCTTCGTCATATTCAAAGTCTTCTATTTCCACTTCGTCGTGAAATACCGTCATTTATTACCAAAATATGATTTATTCTTTCTAGGGAAAAAAATCACGTCGAAATTCTGGAATCTAGCAGCTCAAGTTTGCTTTCGATTTAATACTATGGTATCTTTCAAAAAGCTTTCACACTTTAATCTGTGGACCGTGGGTCAGTGACTGGTCGTGAATTTAAAAGATTCCATTTAGATTCTGCATTATTAAACCTTTGGGATTCATTACACTATTTCTGCTATGCCAGATATTGGGTATCATATATATCCTCATAATTAAATTAGACTGGGATTGGTATGGGTTAACCAATGATCATCGCCTATAATAGAAACAACGGACCAGAAACAGAAACCAACAAAGATCCCAGTGATTTCTAGAAAAATATTATATACAATGTATATTGCATGTTTTAAACTCTTTTCTCGCAACTGCCTTCAGATCGAGGATTGTGAGCATGAGTCCGCAAGTTTGGGTCCCAAGTTGGACATATTCAGGGAATCCCATATGCCCTGTACATTAAATGATATTTCTCGGCCTTGGGAGGGGTTGAAGAGTTGAGCAACTGATATTCTTCACAGTATTTTTTTCAGGAGTAGGTCTACTGTTAATGGAAGTGGGGCGGGGTAGGCCTGCATGGGGGATATTTTTATTACATAAAAATATTTGTATAATAATGACTCATGCTGGGAATCAGCTAGGCCCTCTGGGCCTATAAATCAAGCCGATTTCTCACGGAGTGGGGAGTGGGCAGTGGAGCAAAACTTATTTCCCAGCTGCACTGGGCGTCAATAAATACAGATGGCTGGATTGAGAAGGCTGTCAAATGTCAGTTTTATTAAAAAATTCTTTGTACCAGACGAGTAATTTATGTTTTAATAGAGGCTATTATTGCTTTGAATAGTTTGACATATATACATCGATCCCTGACACGCTTGACTGCAGGCCCTTGTCCATGAATTAGGCATTTTTAATGACTATTCAAATTATAATGTAAGCAGACAATTATGCTTTATTTGTAATCTCTTGCATTTTAAGTCATTCAAGCATCTAAATTCTAACGTCAACGATTGAAAATGCAATTATAGCTAATTTATTTTGTAATTGTTTGCTAATTATGTTGTTTTTCTGTCTCCTCAACATTATTTTGAATGTGGGGCCTTAAATAGGCCCTCCGGTTTGCTGATGATCTTTTATTTCTTATAAAATAAGATAATCGGGTCCTGCCAGGCATGTGAGGAACCTATATAATTTTACTCCCGTCATTCTGTCAGCTAGGAAATAAAAATACGTATAGGGTCTAATTAAACAAGTTTCAAAGTTGGAAGTTACAAACTGCCGCATTTTCCAATTGCTATTTGTCTCTTGTAATCACCATTTCATAGCCTTTCGACAACAAAGGGAAAGTTAAAGCTTCTATTTTCACAAACGATATCACCTTTAAACTTTAAATTTTAAATTTAATCCAGCGAATAGGCAGCAAATCTGCAATTAAACGATGTCAGAGTACACATCTGTGAAAGTTGGAAAGCTTAAATTAAAGGGAAGCTCTGATCGTAAATCGTAAGTGTCATTTGATTTTTGCTGCTGCAGCATGCAGCGCGGAGCGGAGCGGAGCCCCGTTCTCATTCGGGCCGCTGCGCTGGCGAGGGTCAGCATCAGCGGCGCTGATTCTAACCAAATCTAGTCTAGTCGTAATTCGGAAGAATATCGATTTCGGAAGTCTATTATTGTGAGATTGCCGGTAATCGTCGCACTTCCAAATTCGAAATGTATGCGCTTCTTCCTGATTTTGAGTGTTGACACAAATAACAAGTAACATTAACAACAAACCATGGCCATGCAAACAGTATAGATCTAGATCTAGTGTCAATTGTCAATGACAATGTCATGACCACTGCACTGAAATGATGACTGTGCATCAATGCAATACTCAATTCAATTTCATGTTCAACTACTTCACCCATATTCCCTTAATTTCATGACCAGATATGTTATTAATTATGTTGATTATTACTACATTAGGGTCTAGACTACTTTAAGTCTTTATGATTAATATTATTAACTTGATTGAGTCTTAAGACTTAAATTACATTTATGATTTATTAGTGATTTACATTGTCAACAACTTGATTGAATCAAAGTTTATCAGACATAGACAGATAGATAGAGTTAGAGGTACGTGCGTACTAACCGGACGTAATGCCTTACTGATACAGTGTACTACTAAAATAAATAGTACTGCTACTACTACCTATGTGTGTGTATTTACAGACGTGTAACAATCAGATCTGATTATTTACACTAGGTCTAATTCTAACTTGGATCTAATCGTTACTACCTTTTCTTTTACAGAACTCAAATTTGAGTATAACTTTTTGTCTCGTAGTCATATCTATGTCTTTGATTGATTTCTCAATTATATTCATCCAATCTCCAGGAGTTCAAAGAAGCACAAGAAGAAGCGAAAGAGAGAACATGAAGAAGGAGGGCAGGCTAGTAGCGAGAAAACAAAAGATGCAGAGGAACATGGTAAATGAATTCTTCTAATTTATGAAGTAAAAAATGTTAAAAGGGTAAAATAGGAAAATGAAACTGTATTTTTTTAAAATTCATTCTTGCTAACCAATGTGTCATATTACCAAATCACTTTTGAAGCTCATCATAAATGCCCTCTGCAAAAATGAAATTGAGTAGTGTATATACAATTGTATGTTTAATTATTCACAAGTTCATACCGGTATTCTTTTGAACAGATTGATCTGTTCCCTCAGAAGATGATGCTGTATGTTGTTTGATCATTTACATGATTCTTTTCAGTCTTGTACTATTTCACTTTACAATTACATTATACATGTCAGTGGTTATTGGTCAAAATAATAAAGTCATCCCTATATCATTTGTGTTTTTAAAGTTTATGCAATTCATCTTTATTGTGTCCTTTCTTACCTCTTTTATCTTAATTCTTGATATTCTCTTTTTGATCGACTTTTGTTTATAGGTGGCTGGTGGGCAGTTACTGAATTCCGAAACATCAAGGGAAATGTTGCAATAGAAATGGGTCCAAAGACATTTCTCTTTTCAATGGACAATGGTCTCTTCACATTAGGAGCTCCTCACAAAACTGGTAAGTGTGAATGGTAAAGTTTGAAATGTTCCTGCCAAATGAAAAGAAACAAATGCAATTGTTAAAATTTAACCTTTAAAAATATTAGAAATACAGTTATTTGATGGTTATAGAAATTATCTAACAGATTAGAGGTAGTATATAAGTCCTATTCAATGTCTTGATATATACAGTGCATCCCAGAAAAACGGAAACCAAGAATTATTGATGTTTTATCATAACTTAATCACTATTCTAATCAATAAATGACACATATTTGTAAAGCTTAGATCCTCCTTTTTCATTTGATGCAACTCATATGATGCATATGTCACGCATGAGTGATTAAAAACAATTTGAAGGAAGGGTACCAAAAAGTCATTTGGCGGACGGTATCTGAATTTCACAGAAAAAAATCACATTTCCAAAAAGTTCATTTTCTGCTCTTTCATATGACACCTCAATCAGGAAAAAGAGCCAGGAAAAACAAAGTTCTGTTTATTTGAAGTAATGCTTGCATTTCCCTAATTTTATTAAATAAATTCATTTTCACTGGCTGTCTGCCCTTACAACAAAAAAGACAAAAGACTTCATGCATGGCAGATCATCAAGTTTGTTGCTACGGCAGGCAGCCAGTGAAAGTGAATTTGTTTAATACAATTATGGAAATGCAAGCATTACTTTACAAACCCATTTAATTGTTAGTTGTGAAACAGCAACATAGTACATACCCTCTTTTTAAAAGGCTTTTTAAATTCCTCTTTAGTGTAGTAAGTGTAGTGTCCACAAATATAAAGAGGTAAAAAAAAAGCGTTAGCACCTGGGCTTCTCCCATATTACAGTTTGCTTTTTTTGTGACCCATATTAAATATTGCCTACTTTACATCTTGGTTTCTTAGGATGTCTTTTCATAAATCTGTCAACATTCAAAAGATGAACGCGGAGCACTGTATTTCAATATCACTGTGACCCTTGTGCTGTACACAGTCTTTATTCTATATGAGAGGGTGAGAGCTGTACAGCTTTGTCACGTTACAATCAAAACAATCCATTTCCTGAAAGCATGGCAATCATTATCAAACTGAATTGAAATTGAAATTCACATTTTGTTTCCTTCTCGTTAATTATCGGTTTCTTTTCACTCCTCACAGCTGTGGAAGGTCCAGCACCCCCAGAGCAGATCACTGCCATCCCAATGTCCGATACTAAGATAGCCTTCAAGAGTGGCTATGGCAAGTTCCTCGGTGTGGATGATAAGAAGAGAGTGGTCGGCAGGTCGGATGCCATGGGACCAAGGGAACTCTTTGAACCCGTTTTTCAAGATGTAAGCACTACTTATAGCTACTTGCGACCTCTATATAGCAAACTATGCCTAATCTGTGACTGTTGGTCCCCAATGATCCCCTTTCTCTTATGTTAATTGCGAGCTGATTTTGATGAGATAACCACCTGTCAGTGACCTTGCAGGAAGGTCTTATCCCCCCTGGCCAAACTAGTGCAGATGGGATTTAAGTCCTAATTTTGTGGTATTGAAAAGAAGGAACCTAAATTCAAATTTTTCAAAACAAAGAATTGAATCCCCAAATTGTTAAATGGGACCAAGCATTAAAAACAATAATTTGTGCATTATAACAAGACATTAAGTTATTCCCCAAACTATATGAGATATTCAAATGGTGGACGATTAAAAAACCATCTAGTTGACCCATTATTGAAGCATACATGGAGTTCATATGCAGCAAATGTTAGCATGTTAATTTATTCATACCCGGTATTAAGTAGCATAAATAGTGCAGTTTGGGTATTTACACTCGTAATATCTCTTTACCAAAGTAATATTTTATGCTGGTATTTTGAGTATCGAACGTCGTCGTGGAATCCATAACATATAAAGCAAAATAAATGTTTGGTGATTGGTGCACTTAATTGTATTATATATTTATTTGTTTCTCTCTGCATTTTGTGATTAAGGGTAACCTTGCTATGCTGGCATACAACAACTGCTTTGTGTCATGTAATGATGAAGGTGAACTGATGGCGACAAGTACCAAGGCAGGACCTGATGAGATGATAGTGGTAAGTGAACTTTCATTTCCAAAAATAATGTTTTCATATTTCAAATCATCTTTTTTAGCAGGAAGCAATTGCACATACATGTATACAATGTACATATAGTATTGTAGTTGTTATTGTGGAGATGAATTGCATAAAGTGCATACATGAAATAGTGCTGGAATGTGTTGCGTAAAGCTAAGCTGATTAGATTAAAGCTTTAAGATTCAAAATATCTTGGTGGGTCTCAGCTTCAAGGATTTGTAAAACACAAACAATTTCATTCAAAATGATTATGGTAAAAAGTAAAAATCAACAATGAGCTTTTGATTTTGAACCAAACTCACATCATATCTATAAGTTTTCAAGAGCTCAAGACATAGATTTGGACTAGATTTGGACTGAAGATGGTTAGTGTAGGGTGTCTTTAGCTTTTCAGTTTATATCCATCATGATATAAGTGTGTTTGAGTTTCATATGTCATATTACTTTTGAAAATAATGGCATTTGTGGTTCTACAAAAATATACATTTCTTAGGGTGATATCATATTTACAAATTTTGCTATGTTTATATTTCTAGATAAGAAGTGATGAGCCTCTGGTGAAGAAGAAAAAAGATGATCTGCCTGAGGAAGGAAAAGGTGACCTCAGGGAATGTGAGGTCAGCTATGTGTAAGTCAGATCAATAAAATAAAAATTTGACATTAGATTTTTTTAAATCAGTTAAATAATATTCATTTGAAAGAGAAATTGCATTTTTTCCCCCTCCCCTCCCATTGTGCCCAAAACTCTTCATAATTATTTTTTCCATATTAATGCTCGCTATAGGTATGTGAACTAAGACACTACTTTAATACTGGGAAAGAATTAACAAGGAAATTATGGTGTTGGTATAATCACAAATATACATATTTCTGCACTTTAGAAGAATTCTGATTATTACTTATAACAAAATTGAGTGAGCTAGGAAATAAATCTCAAAAGGGAGCATGAGTTCAAAATGGTATATGAGCAAAATGTATGGAGATAATCCTTTTCTATATAAATTGTTTTCATTCATGTCCATTGTTTGCCTGAAGTTCAAAGCCAATTTTCTGAATTTATCTGAATCTGAAATAATATGGCTCAACACTCCTGGTGAAGTAAAAAATGAGTCGGAACATGTAATTAATATCATTGTAGAATTCTGATTATTAAGGAACAAATATTATACCCATTACATGAAGCAAAGATATTATGAAACTTTCCTTTAAACAACTTTCCACTCACTCTAAAAAATATCCATTTTGATTGCAGGAAGAAGTTTCAGAGTTTTCAGGATCACAGGATGATCATCAACGAAGGAGAGAGGACAGGTCTCTCAAACGCTAGGGAGAAGGGAAAGTTGCATGAAGCACTTCTAGACAGGTAAAGTAACTTTACTGGTGTGATAGAAAGGAATTGAAAATGGTTTATTCATTTGCTGCTGCCATTTTTTTTTATATACATAATTCAGCAGATCTGCAAATCGTCTGTTTGGAGACAGAAGGGCATTAGCTCATAAACACAGAGTTAACGTCCTTTTGCTTTTGAACAGGTGACATGATTTTTTTTTTAAATCATTTAATCATACACTTTTTTTTTTTTTTTTTTTTTTTTTTGTAGTTCACAGATGCCAAATGTGATATTTAGTGTCTTATCTTTGCTTTCGTTTATTTACCATAGATCTATATGATTTATTCACATTCAGTACTTGTTTTTTGTAATGTGGAGATAAATTTATTTATTCTTTATTCATGTAGGAGAGAGAAGATGAAAGCTGACCGATACTGCAAATGACCCATGCTGTCTGGTATACTCCACTGTTGCAATCTACCTGTCTGGTCTCAACCCCGTAGGTGAGACCTGGACCGGAATGCTGAACTTTTCCCTGTGGTCCAGCTGATGTATGCTTGGCTCAAGGAATCATGAACTATATCCGATTAGTCTTGAAAAATCTGCTCTGGTGTGCAGAATATTACATTTGAAGCGTACCTACACTCTTGGAAAGGATCCTTTCTGATAGATGGGTCAATTTATTGTGTCTCGGCCTAGATAATCCTTGCGGGCATCGATTCATGAATCCATCAAAAGTACAAGTTCATCAACATCCAATTGAAATGCCTTTATTGAAGTTTACACAGGTTTCCATGGGATTTCATTAAACTTGTACATGTGCTTTTTGAAGACTTTTCACTTATAGACGTCATTAAAATGTTATCATATCATTTTCCCTCTTTACTCTATGTAGTCGTAGAGTGATATATATTTTAATTAATTTTTTTTTTAAATCAACATTTTATTGTGTGAAGTTGTCGCCCCAGGGGGGTGTTTCATAAAGCTGTTCGTAAAGTTACTCGTGACTTTACGAATGACTTAAATATGAAAAGCCAAATAGGATGCTCAATCATTTTTAACTGCATCAACTCAAGTTGGACTGTGCAGATGTATATTAATATTCTTATTATAACAAACATTTTTAATGCAAAGTATATATTTTTGCCATAATTTAATTGAGGTTATTGGAAATATAGTCACACTTTGTTAAAACATCAGGAAAAACTTTGGGCATCCTATCTGGCACTTCATATTCAAGTGGTTCGTAAAGTCATGCGTAACTTTACGAACAGCTTTATGAAACACCCCCCAGATTGATTAAGAAAGAAGAAATTACAAGTATATGTGAAATATTGTGTAGGTATGACAATTAAACTTGTTTATATTTGTATACTCAAAAGAGAATGATTGTAAATTTGTTTGATTACATGACATGGATCAAATTAGATGTCCCTTAATATTTGAACCCTCCTTCTACGTTTCAGACTCCTTTTTGCTATGAAAAATGTATATTTATCTGATATTCACTCAAAGAGAAGACAAAAACATTAAAAGAATCATGCTACTTTTTTTTTTAAATGAATCTTAGAATGAAATCAGTAACTAACAACAAGCCTTCCACATACTCTGTGTGGTAAATCATATTACAGAAATATAACTAAGTAGAGGTATGGTGATCTTAACTCTTTTGTGTGTAGGCCTATTCCTTTTTTAAAAAATACCAGGAGGATTGGCTAGGTCAATTCACACAATAATTTTTTTTTTTTTTTTGGGGGGGGGGGAGGGGATTTTGTTTGCCTTTGAATTCATTGATGAAAAGGAAATGTAGATTGTAAATATATTTCTCATGCTTTGATATATCAAGAAATGTAAAGATTCATGTACAGATGCATTTGAAATATTTTATTATTCACAGTGTAATTCATCATTGTAAAGAAATGTTAAGTACTTGTATAAAAGAGACGTTTGAAATCAAGCTTTGAATATTTATTGATTTTATTGGTGTGTCGTGAGCAAAGTGATGTGAGATGAACTGTAGGATTAGAACAGGAAAGTGGTATGAAATATGAAAATAAATTTAAAGGGGAAAAAAAAAAGATGAAAAGAAGAGAAAGTATAAAGATAGAGTGAGGGTTTTATAAGGTAGGAAGGAGCACATGGAAAGGTAATGGAACAAAGAGAGAGATGGAGAGTGCAAGTAGATTAATGAAAAATTAATGAGTAAATATATAGATGTGTGGGAAAAAATTGCACAATCAATTGTAGAGGGATGGATGAGTACTCTTGAGGAGAGATAGACTGTTGGAAATATGACATAGATTCTGCTGGGAAAGGAAGATGTATTAGAATATACGGCTAAGAGACGTGTACATAGAGCGTGAGAGGGGAAGTGAAAAGCAGATCGAATTGAAAGAGATAAGTAGATATGAGGAAGCTAGGAGAAGTAAAGAAACAAAAAAAAAAACAATAGGGGATGGGGGAAGAGGGAGGTATATAGAGTGGTAGAGATTGGCGGGAGGGAGGGGGGGGGGGATCGAGAAATGGAGGGAGAGAAACACCGTAGAGAAATGGAAGATCAAGAGATTGGGAGAGGAAATCCCGATCTAAAGAAAGCTACAACCACAATTAGGAGAGAAAATCCCCGCCCCCCCCCCCCCCCCCCCCCCCCCACTCCGAGAACGGACGGACCCCATGCGTGTTGCCAAAATGTCCTTTTCGTAACAAAAGAAAAAGGTCGACCCGTATTGACTTTACACACCGGAATTTTGCTGAAGGGGGGGGGGGGGGGGGGGGGGGGTGGGGGGGCTGAAAAAGGCTCGTATACAAAAGAAAAAGGTCGAGCCGTATTGACTTTACACATCGGACTTTTGCTGAAAAGGGGGGGGGGGGTCGGTTGGAACACGCATATGCGTACCCTAAATAACACTGAGTGGGGGGGGGGGGGGGCGGGAGAAAATCAAGTCGGGCAAAGAGAGACTCGGTGGAGTTAAATTAGAGAATTAAAAAGAACAAATAATATAGATGGGGAGTAAGATGATAGGGTGAAACAAGTAGGGAGGTGTATCACACGACGAAAATATTAATATCATATTGCAAGTTTGAAGTTACAGATAGTTAATTAGTTATGGATAAAAAAATACATGTAGTTGATCCAATCCGGATATGGCCTGGATCCAAGTTCCCGAATAAAGTCGAGCGCCAGCTACGTTCTCTTTTAGCTTATGTGATTATCAAGGTATTACGACAAAATTTTATCTTCGAAATATCCGTTTTAATCGTAGTTATCCTGAATTGAATCATTATAATGAATACACCTTTTATGAAACAAAATATCATATTTACAATTTATGTGATGAATATAACACTTTTAGTCCATATTCACTATATCTACCGCAATTCTCTTCGTCTAATCTGTATTCAATGTTGCACGGTTCATGAATGATAAAGGATGCTTACGTGCAATTCCCCATAATATTCCCAGTTTTGTGTGCTTTGTGTCTGTCTCTGCGTCTTGCTTCCATATTTTGTGAAATGTGTATGCTATTAAATGATTTGGCAAATGTATTATCTAGTTATTAATCTAACTTTAATCAATTTTAAGGGAGAAAAACCTCAAAATACGTTGACGTATTATGACATAGATTTTGACCGTGTTGTCTTTCATAATAGCCCCACACGATTAGTTACGTGTGTGTAAACATGGCACCCATTTTGGGGAGGAGCTAGAGCTTGAACGCACAATTTCATATCATAGACATAGTATGGTTTTGAGGTTGAGAATTATTGCAACTTAAGTAAGCTACAAAATAATCACCCAGATATGCCATGTATTATTATGATGACGTCCATGCCGATTTGATTACTGAAACGGATTGACGATAAATCAAGAGAATTTGGGAACAAAAAATTTTCTTGCATGAACGTGAAGTTCTTCCCGTCTTTGACTTTGGTCCCAACTTGTAACTTATATGCATGTGCCCAACAATGAATGAATGATATTTAGCTTATTTCTTGACATGGCTATTAGATCTACTATTAGTACTATTATCCTTGGCTTAGTTAAAACTCAGGTGAGGTAAATGGGTACCCCGGTAGGATTGTTCCTTGAATTTTAATTGAAATGGACTGCGCTGATTACGGCTGCCGGAAGTAAAGCTAAGATACTAATTTCTAAAGCTCTATAATGTGATATGCGCTATACAAGAACTGAATATTATTATTAAATTTTATGAATAGCAAAACATGTGCACCGATGTGCAAATTAATTGAAAAGTAGGATCTAGACTAGGTCTACTAAAATTAAAAAGGATAAAAGAAATTCTGTGAACATTGCTGTGCCACGACATAGATTTGCATAGTGAAGGAGTTATAGGAGGGGTTTCTGGTTTAATTTTGAGTGGTTACCTTTGTATGGACATGTACAGCATGCAGCAACAATGAAGATGTTCAAAATTACACTTTCCAGACATCAAAACACACATAAATCAGTCACAACACAGAGGCAGTCACTGACTCTGAATTGATCAGTAGACTTGTTATTTTGGTTTCATTAAAGAATTTTTTTTTTTTTTTAATTTAAAATTCACTTTGAATGACAGTCTAGATATATGCACATGTCTCAACCCTCTCCCACTAAAACATTCTCCCACTAAAACATTCTCCCACTCAAACATTCTCCCATATTGGAGTAGATCAAAGTAAATTTAAAGTAGACTGTAGAAGGTAACCCCTTTTCAGCAAATCAAAGAAAGTCAAATTATAAATGGGAGGTTGTTTCCAAAATAGACTACCGATACCAAAATTCTGAGGAAATCTCCTTGGGACAGATAGGACAGATTTTCAAGAAATTAGCACTTACCGGTAGGTTATTTTCTACTAGGATATTGTTGATCAAAATGTTTCAATTTGATAAGACTAATAAAAAGATATTAAGATTATAATTTTAGGGTCTGCATTGATATAAAATTCCTTAATAAAAATCGAAATCAAGATCTTCATCCCCCCCCCCCCCCTCTCTCTCTCTCTCTCTCCCTCTCTCTCCATTGTTGAAAACCCCCAAACCAATAACAGTCTTCATAATTATGCTCTCAATGGACTAAAATGAAATAAGAAAAAGATAAGCATCAACCGTAACAACAACAAAAATGGGTGTGGACAAAAACCCATCCACAGCTCGGGAGTTTCCATTGAGAATAGACCTCCACCAGAGATTGAGAAATTACTTCTCTATCGTTTGTATCCATCACTTGACAGTTCCTTGTTTTCTTCTCCTTAACTTACAGATGGTGAAGAAGGGAGGATCCGAGAAGAAGAAGCGCTCTGCGCTCAACGAGGTTGTCACCCGTGACTACACCATCCATCTCCATAAGCGCATCCATGGCGTGTAAGTCAAGAGACATATTAGGGACTTTTAGATTAGCATGTCGACATGGTGGACTGCTACGTGTGACGTCCTTTTAAGGCACAGGCAGTGCTTTTAAAGGATGTCACATTGCCTTATAAGGACGTCACACGTACGGTAGCAGTCCACTCTGTCGATGTGCAAATGTAAAAGTCCCTACTAACTCATTCCCGAGCCCTGTTTCATTCAACTTGTTATCAATAAAAAGTTAAAATAAACGTTTGTGCTACTGAAATCATTGCATTTGATTGACTGGGAAGAAATTTGTTGTTGATAAGAAAAAATGAAAAGGTGCCCTGGAAAGGTTGGGTCTGGAAGAATATATGGTGGAAGTGGTTATTGTTGAGGTAACATTAAAACATATTTAAAAAAACCGAAAATAACTGATAAAGGTTGGATTTTCTAAATTTCCTGGTACAGATTCATTAATTTCATTTCATGGCCAGTGTTTTATTTTTGAGCTTTTCCATTTGGCAAGACATTAATTTCATTTCAAGGCCATTGTTTTATTTTTG